ACCCCCCCCCCCCCCCCAGGTAGGCGACAATGGCAACAAAGCGACTGAACAGCAGCAGCGGCCGTCTCCTCTCCCTCCTACTCCTCCACCTCCTCGTGGCCGTCGCGTCGCTGGGCGTCTGGGCGGAGGTGCGGCAGAACGGCAGCGCCACCACCGTCACGGTGCGCTACAACGCCACCTCGAAGCAGTTCTCCGCGACGGCCGGCACCGAGTTCGGTGGGGTGGCGGCCACTGTGGCGGTGAACAACACGTTCCTGCTGACCGGCTGGGACGTCGTGACGGCGGAGGCGGACGCGGCGTTCCTGCAGTCCGGCGCCGACGCGGCGCAGCAACAGCGGCTGGCGTACCAGGCACTGGGCTACGGTGAGGGCTACGCCACGCAGCGGCAACTCGCCGCGTCGATGAGGAACACCTTCTACGGTGCGAATGGCCTCAATGCGGTGCTGCAGAACTCCACGCGGGCGGTGGCGTGGGTGGCGGCGCACATGGAGTACATGCGCAACGAGGTGAAGCTCGATGACGCGTATGGGCAGCAGCTGCACAATCTGCTGGCGCTCCTTGATGGCGTCGTGCTTGGCTATAACGACAACCTGCCGAGTCCCGGCGACGACCGCCTCAACGCGACGTGGCTCTTCTACCTGAACTTCCAGACGGAGATCGGCGACGTGGTCAAGGCGGTGTCGCCGGCGGCGGTGGTGGCGGAGCTGCGGCACCGCATGCCGCGGTACTTCGCGGACCTGCACTGCTCTGCGCTCGTCAAGGTGGTGCGCGACGACATTTACTTCTCGCACGTGACGTGGAACTCCTTCAACAGCATGCTGCGGCAGTACAAGACGTACAAGGTGGGGCGCCGCTTCGTCACCATGTCGTCCTACCCGGGGGTGATCCACAGCATCGACGACTGGTACATGACGCACGCGCGGCTCGCCGTGATGGAGACGACGAATGGCGTCTTCAACGACACGCTCTACACGCAGCACGTGCACAACCGCACCGTGTCGGAGTTCCTGCGCGTCATGATCGCCAACTTCCTCGCCGGCGACGCGCCGGCGTGGGTGCGGCACTTCGCGCGCGAGAACAGCGGCACGTACTGCAACCAGTGGATGGTGCTCGACATGGGCCGTGTGCGGGACCCCGGCGCGCTGCTGCCGCCCGGCACGTTCGTCGTGGCGGAGCAGTTGCCCGGCGACGCG